TTACTATTTTCATTAATTGACTTTCTATATTCTGTTTATTAGTTAAATAATATGGTGTTTTAACAAAATCTTTATGAAGACTTTCATACGTTTCAGTAGAAAATCCATTTAAAGAACCATATTTTTTAATTAAATCAGTGGTATGATATATCCATGAATGTAATTTTAGATATTTTAATTCTGATGGAGAATATGTTTTAAAAAGATTAACAAATTGATGTGCCCAATTTGTTATTAATAGCTAAATAAATCAAATAATAATAATAAAGATATTAAATTCGAAATAATGTGAAAAATCTTGAAGAATTGTTAAAATAATAGAATAAATTTAATAAAATCAAAATACCTCAAAAGTATTTAAATCGATTTCACTAAATTCTTCATTTCGACTCATAATATACATATTATTTCAGGATTCATAAATATATAATAATTTTTTATTCAATTTTTCGTCACTAACTAGATCATCTAAAACAAATATCATAACTTTCATCAAATTACGATATTCATTAGCCGTAAGCCTAGCAAGTGATTGAATTCCCTTCTTAAATATTTTAAGTTCCAGATATCTAGGAATATTCACTAACCTTTTATTCATTTCATCCAGAATTGAAGATCCATATAAGTCTTTTAGAAGATTGTATGTAAAAGTAATTTGATAGTTAAATAAACCTAAATCTAAATGATGTATTCTATCAATTACCGTAGCTTCATAAATATTAATATCTCTAAAATTAATAAGAATTTGTTAATAATATTAAATATTTTATAAATCATGTTTTAATAATTTAAATTATGCACATATTTTCGCAATTGTGCGAATTTATTTAAATTATTTTAAACTTATTGAATTTTTTAAAAATTGCAACTTATAAATTTAAAAAATATATTTTAAACTTACTTAAATTCCCAAAAGATATTTTGCACAGATTCTATATATACTGATTTTTCTTTTTCTTTATTATAATAATTTTGCATATTTTCATGATTTCTATATTCCAAATCATGTTTAGGAATATTCGCATTTGCTAAATTATCCCTATCTATTAAACAAAAATGACAAGGAAAATTCGAGCTTGCTGATTTATATGTTAAACAAAATGTCGCAGCTTTTGGCCAATCTGCGATTATTGTTGAAATTTTTGGATAGAACCAGATATATTTGTTATTGAGTAACAAATTAATTCCATTTTCTGAATATGCTTGAATTGGTTCTAAAATTATTTTCAAACATTTATGAAATGTTTGTCTAACTATATTTTTGTCCAAGTTAGATGATGATTTGATTATTGGCAAATAACCTAATAATTGTTTTGCATCCTGTTTATTCCTGCACCATGTAGGTATATTGCCCAATAACAAATATATTGGATGAAGTTGAGTTTTGTCTAATGTATCACAATTTGTAGTATCAGAATATAAAATAATTGATAAAATTTTTGAGCCTATAGGTAAAGTATTTTGAGTAGTCTTCCACCATATTCCATTATTTTGCTCATCAGGAAATTTTTAAATAGGGTGGATATCGATTACCAGCTGCAGGGGTGATTGTTATCAATTAAAAAAATTAATAATAATCGATGTTTAATTGTTGATCGATATATAAAGATTGTAATCGATTTAACAATAATCGATTATAATTGATTAGATGTTTGCAATCGATTAAAATATAATCGATTATAATTGATTGAATAGTTACAATCGATTAGAAAGCAATCAATATTAATCAATTCTTATAATGAATCGATCATTAGTGATAATTTTCGCAGGTAACTAATCTTTTATTGCAAACAAAAATTTTATTTATTGCACGGGTCTTAGTAATAACCTGTACTTTTTTCACTTTTACACATTTAGCTAAATCGGAACATTAATATAAATCGATGATCTTTTTTTTTTCTGTTTTACACATGTCTAACTTTTTTTTTTAGTTAAAAGCATCGTCGCTTTCATGGTGCTATCGCTTTTCTGGTGTCGTCGCTTTTCCTGGTGCCATTGTTTTTTCTGATGTTGTCATTTTTTCTGGTGCGTTGATTCTGATCTCTTTTCCTGATGTTGTCATTTTTCCTGGTGCCGTCGTTTTTCCTGGTGCTGTCGTTTTTCCTGGTGTCGTCATTTTTCTTGGTGTCGTCGCTTTTTCTGGTGGCATTGATTCTAATCTCTTTTTCTGGTGGCAATAATTTTGATCTCTTTTTTTGGTGTTGTCGCTTTTCCTGGTATTGTCGTTTTTCTTGGTGTCGTCACTTTTTCTGGTAGCATTGATTCTGATCTCTTTTTCTGGTGTTGTTGCTTTTCCTGTTGTCGTGCTTTTCCTGATGTTGTTGCTTTTTCTGGTGTCGTTGCTTTTTCTGGTGTCGTCGTTTTTCTTGGTGTTGTCACTTTTCTGGTGGCATTGATTCTGATCTCTTTTTCTGATGTCGTCACTTTTCCTGGTGTCGTCACTTTTTCTGGTGTTGTTGCTTTTCTGGTGTCATCGCTTTTCTTGGTGTCATCGTTTTTCTTGGTGTCATCACTTTTTCTGGTGGTATTGATTCTGATCTCTTTTTCTGGTGTCGTCACTTTTCCTGGTGCCGTCGCTTTTCCTAATGCCATCGTTTTTCCTAGTGCTGTCGTTTTTCCTGGTGCCGTCGCTTTTCTTGGAGCCTTTTTTCGTGATTTTGTAAGTGGCCTTGTTACTTAGTGGATTTTGCTGTCGTTTTCTTGGAGCCTTTTTCGTGATTTTGTAAGTGGCCTTGTTACTTGGTGGATTTTGCTGTTAGTTTTATCAGCTTGCGCATATATCTAACTAATAGGTGTTTCTTGTAGATGGTGTTGCTTCGTTATTGTAGTGATCTATCATTATTAATGGAGCGATTTTGTTTTGAGGAGCTGTGATTATGTTGTAGTGATATTATAAATGTCCTTGTAGTAGTTTCTTTAGGGGAGTATAATTCCTTTTTTTTTATAGTTGTTTTGTCCTTTTTATTTGTGAACATAACTAATCCACTTTTCTATGTTACAACAAATATGATTTTGACACTTGCATTCCTCCCTGGTCCTCAAGTATAGATGTTAAGTGAGACTTGGGGCTTCGCATTGGCAAAAGTCGAAGCTAGGATCTCGACTTTTGCTAAAAAAAAAGTTCTGAAAAGTGAAATGTAGCGAACTAACAAACATGTAAAACGTGCCGAAACTTGTGAAATATGATGAATTGACGAAACTAGTGAAGCATGGTGAAACTGATGAAATGTAAAGAACTGACGAAACTGGTGAAAAGCGGCAAAGCTGGTGAAATGTAACGAAACTGGCGAAATGTGGTTAACTGAAGAAACAGGGAAATTAGCGAAATATGACCAATTGATGAAACTGGTAAAATATATGAGCAATAGATCCAAATTTAATTAAGATGAAAGCCTGAGTTAGGGCCAGGTTAAGGTAGGTATTAGTGGTATTATTAATTGATATAATATAAATCTCCTTGGAACAGTTATAAAAAAAAGTATATAATTCTTTATAAGTTAGGATCAAACTATTTTGTACAAGATACCCGGGTATTAACTATGTAGCATATATCATTTTATGTAAAATACACCTCTTGTATAATATCCAGGTACTAACTTGGATTTTAACTGTAGAATGTATCGTATCCGGGGTACTATAGTTCGCGCTATATGGTATCTTACTAAATCATTAATAAATAAAACTTTAATTAACTTTTGGGAATAGTATTTAGTAAAATTATCCGGGATAATGATTAGAATTATTCTTTTATCAAATATAAAAATGGTTTGATTTAGTTATTTATTTCTAAATTGATTTGTCTCTACATTTTTAAAATTGTCGCACAGTATTAGGTAGTGTTAACATTGGTTTTTATTTTTAAAAAAAAAAATCTTGGACCGATCATAATACAATTAGTCTTTCTTTAAAATTTTATTGAATGAATCTAGATCTTACTTTAAAATTCTCGTTGGATGGTTTCGCTTTTTTAAAACCTCTGAACAAGTTTATATGTAATTAGACTTCTGTTTGATTTGCGTTAGGTTTAATTCTTCGCTTTTTTAAATAATTCTTATTGGACAAAGTCTTTATAACAACTTTAAAATTATTTTTTTATTGATATGAAAGTTGTCGCACGGGTTGTTACGTTAGACCTGTGCAATAATATAGTTATTTTATAAAATAACTAAATTTGCAAGAGTCAACCCGTTTCACATGGCCGAAGGCGATGTGAAACTGGTTAACACATGCAAATTTATTTATTATCTCTATACTGTATTAACAGCGATAAATAATAAATATAAAAATGAAATCTGATTTATATATATTAAATCCAGAATCAAATACCAGATACTATATTATATAATTATTTATTAGGTCAAAACTTTCAAAGACCTACTTAGAAGCATTTATAATAATAATTATAAAATTAATAAATGCAAAACTTATATCAATTGCAAAAAAAAAATTTTTTGACTTTTCAATTAACACCAAAGAGTTCATCATCAGCTTCCCTTGAATTTCCTATACTTTGTTGCTCTTGAATTTCAACCATAACTTCGGCTGCTATATTTTCATTCTCACCAACAAATGCCCTTTCATTTGTATTAATTATATCTATTGATTCTTTGGACGGAGCACCATTGGTTTTAAAATCACACTAAAAATTATTATAAGCATAAGAAAGTTTAGTTGATTATTTATAACAATAAATCTGAACATAAAATTTTTTTTGCACACAAAAAAAATTCAGATGTGCACATGGTTTTTTTTATAGTATTGCAATTTTTCGTTCGCAGGATCTGGTGTAACTTCAAATTTAAAACAAATGTTCGTTTGCAAAATCATGTTTACCTAGAGCTTCGATTCTGGCAATCTGGTTTTTATTAAATCTGAATTGAATCCGTATTAGATTACATATAGAGCTAGCTTTGTAGCACATCCTTATATCTGTTATTCAAGTTCTTTGACCAATCCGAGTAAAAATCTCTAATCTGATATCTGAATCTATCTGGATTTAAAGATAAATTCAAATGTCAGATTAAGGATTGAAGCTCTATGTTTACCTCAAATCTTTTATTAATAAACTGGCTTTAGATTCCAATAAAACAAAATTCCTTGTTCAATTTTACTATTAAATAGCTCATTCTAATATAAAATATGTACAAACCCTAACATAAATGTGCCTTTTTGTTCACAAAGACTATTGACTTTAGAAAATTACATGACTGAACAATCAACCCTATGTTCACCAGACAGCTCATATAACTGACATTACACTAAGTGAAATTTAGTAAAAATATATACCTGCAACTAAATAAATGCTTAATCCTAACCCTATATAATGTCAGCTAAATGAGCATTCGGTGAAATATCTGAGTTGATCGGAACCGCCCTATGCCCTACCAATTTTACTTACAACATATTTTTCCATTCTTCTTTTCATTCTATCTTCAACACATGTAATTCTTTTTGACTTGGGATTAAGAAAAATATTACAAACAGCAAGAGTAAATGTGTAATGGGTGTTTGTAAGATTAGGGGAAGATACTTCACTAAATGCATGTCGTGCAATTATCATCACCCAATATTTGTTATTATCATTGCGTTGAAAAAGTAAATCAAAACATTGTGATACTTTTTAACTATTTTTCCACTCAACAATATCAGTAGCAGAGGCATTATTTTTTAATGACAGTAGTTTTTCTACACCAAATACACTAAACATTGCCTTCCTAACATTCGACAGTGCTGCACTTCTGATGTTTTTCATTTTTAATAATAACTATTGATAAAAGCAATTTTGTTTTTTATAAAAATCTACAGACTAGAGATTACACTGTATCTTCATAAAATAATACCCTTGAGAATTATTTCGATATACCGTATAGCGCGAACTATAGTACCCAGATACGATGCATTCCACAGCTAAAATCCTAGTACCCAGGTATTATATAAGAGGTGTATTTTACATAGAAATGATATATGCTACATAATTAATACCTGGGTATCTTGTATTCAACTATGAAAAATTTTTATAGAGGGTACTTTGATGTAGAAGTACTATGGTCTGCACTGTACGGCATATTGCTTAAAGAAAGTAATAATTAATTTAGCTTGAGACTTTTAATAATAAAAAATTAACTCTTTTCAAACAATATATCTCGAAATAACCACCCCACGGTATATTTCGTGACAATATAATATAAGTATATAATTCTCTTTAATAATAAATACATACCGGGCTAAGCCATTCATTATGAAAACCGTTAAGAAATTGAGTTGGACTAAGAGTAACAAACAACTCATGATGGTTTTCTTCCAAGTATTTCTTCAACGCATCTTTTAAAATATTTTGAGTTAAGTAAAGAGTTTCAAGAAAAAGACGTTTTACAACTCCTCCAACAATAGACTATTAAAATCAAATTGATATAAGTGAAATATACAGTATATCTCTATTTTAAATTTGAAAAATATTTACATTTAATACATGAGGGGAGAGCTTAGCTTTTCGTTCAATTCTTTGCTTTTTAAGTTCATCTTTAATTTCATTTAGACCCTCTTTATATTTTTTTAACAGTAAATACATTCGTTTATTCTGTTCGAATAATTGTTCATCAATTTGACGTCAATACTCTAAAAAAAAAATTCAATTAATATTGTTATATTGCTATGGAGAAATTACCCTGCTTTAACTTGTTAAAAATAGATTAGATTAATTTTTTATAATAAGAACTTTCGAAAAATTCGAAAAATATTAATAATAGTAGCAAAAAATTATACTCAAAATGAGTAATTGCTTCCAAGCAGTTTTTAAGAAAACCGGTTTCATAAAGAATTTCTAAGTATTAAAAGAATAATATCTATATACTTTGTATTGAGCTAAATTAATAACTATATACTATTAATAAAGTATATTCTTAAAAGCATTATGAATAAGTTTAACTAGTCATTTATTGAAAAGTAATAGCATCATTCGCTACTGCATACAGTATCCCCAAAATATTCATCACCATCTTGGCTTGATTCTTGAATAGTACCTGGGGGTTAATTATATGAATTTATTACTGTTCATATGAAATATCCCCAAATATAGTACCCGTTCCTCACACAATACACATGGGTACTATTCAATTTAAAAAATGAAATTCTTGGTTAAGACCACGGGTACTGTATGCATTGGCAAACGGTAATAACGAGCAAATTTCATTAAACAGATTTAAACATTTTAAGCAAGATAAGATCCTTACATACTATAAATATTTAACAATACCCAGTAAAGGGTGTAGCGACTTAGAGTAGTGGTTAAGTTGTCACCCCTCAAGCAGCAGGTCTAGAGTTCGAATCCCACCGGAGACGATTTTAGAAAAATAGGCCTGTGCTCCGGTAACAATTATTCAACAATCGGTTGGGTATATTACCTGTAATCTTGGTACTACCATCTCGAAATGGAAGCTCTTAGTCGATCCAAATCCAAGGAACCGGAATAATTGAAACCTGTTTGGCAAGACCCGAGTAAGGAGGTAGTGAAGATCTTTGACGATACTGCGAAAAGTCTGAAACTGGAGACCGAAGAACCGGACGAAAACCCTGGACCAAGAAGGGTCCACCAACCTGGCCACCAGAGTCGCACTGGAGGAAAAGGTCCTATGCTACGAAATTAGAAACCAAGGGAAGTAAAACCAGAAGGCACTTAAAGTCTAGATACAACGATCCATCCGGGCTAACTGGTTTGGTAGTTGGGGAGGGATCGGTATAAGGACCAGCTTGATGTGGATATCGGGATCAGAACGAACCTTGCAAGGGCACCGGATACTGGAATTATGCAGTTTAATGGTTCGCCCTAACTGCTAGTGGTGGTTTCAGCTGCTGCAGAAGATATTCGTAGCCTAATCTGTAAGTGCGTGGAACATAGAAAGATTAGGGGCTATGTACTACACCCTCTCTAGGGTAACCCAGTATGTAGGTTCTACTGGGCTATCTATAGAATTAGGGTGCAAGTAGTATAGCAGATGTCGATCTGAGTGGTCTTCAATAAGAAGCAGCACGAGGTTATGGATTGGTGTGATTGTGGTGGTGGTGCAGGACGAAGGACGTCAGAGGGTTTAAATAAGTAATCTCCTAGTTAGGTTACAGGTATGACATATAGTGTAGAACCTTCGGGCGGACTACTTAAATTAGGCGACCAAAAGTTGCACGTGTGGCTATATGTACTCTCGCTAACCAAAAATGTACCACTAAAAATACCTAATAAAAATCCACCCTTCCGTGACATTGCAAAGGTATAAAAAAAAAAAAAAAAAAAAATTTTGTAAGTATGCAATTAATAATATAGAAATTAGTAGTATTTCATTTACTACAGATATGTGGATCTCAGATAATGGTGATCTATATATTAGACTTACGCTTTATTAGATAAATGATAATTTTCAAATAAAAGAAATAATTAGTAACATTTCATATCTTCTATATCCTCATACCGCCAAATGTCTTTTAAATAAAATAGTTGAAATTTAGATAGTTTTAAATTTAAAAATATAATTGTTTATAATATAGTTAACAATGAGTCAAATATTAAATCGTGTTTAAAGAAATTGGAACGAAAATATAGTATATATAAGGTTTTTTGTTTTGGATATACTTTGCAGCTTGCAATTAACAATGCATTAAAAGAATGTTTTGAGATTACAAATTTAATAAAAAAATATAAGGATATAGTATCACATTTTTAATTCATTATGTTTCTATAAGGTGGAATTCGACATTCTTTCTATTAAAGCAGTTAACTATTCTTAAACCTGTCATGTATAAATATATATTACTTTTAGTTGAAGCTAATGACAATAATTTGCTAAAAAATTATAAAGAAAAAGAATTATTATCTAATAATTGAGATAAAGTAACTAAATTAGTAAAATTGTTGTATTCTTACGAAATTATTTCTAAAAAATTATTTGGTTTACAATATCCAACACTTTCACAAGCATGGTTTGCAATTAATTTTATTAAGGTGAAGTTTAATTGTACTATAACAAATGATACTAATATTCAAATGTTTGAAAACTCTCTTTATAAATCAATTCAGTTATAATTTTTTATTTTTAAATTTTTTTTGAGAAATTCGATTTTCATTTAGATTAAAGTCATCTAATAAATTATATCATTTACATAATTAAAATTATTAGTATTAGTAATATTTCAGATGACTTTCAACAAACAAACTCTTTCTCTGATCTGCAATTTTTAATTAGTCAAAAACAAAATTAACAATTATTTCCAAATCTAGTATAAGAAACAAGATATCTTATATTAAGAAAAAAGAAAGAGTACTTAAAATAAGCTATAGTTTATTAGAAGAAGCTTTTATCCAAGGCCTTTAGTTTAGCAACAACAAATTTTTTAGAAATTTTTAGAAAATTTTTGAAAATTTTTGAGAATTTGCCTAGATCTTAAAAATCTGATCTTAAAACATGTAAACAACAACAAAACAACAAACATGTAAGATCAGAAAAATAAACAAACAAATAAACAGCAGATCACATTACTATTTTTAGAATTACCGGAAAAACAACAAGTAAACAAACAATACACGTATTATTATCAAGAACTAAAAGATCTTTCTAGAAAATGCACTAGATTTTAATACAATAAAGTAGAATTTAAATCAACTTGTAAAGATATTCATACAAGAATTCTAATACATGAAATTATGTCAACTCTAAAAAGAATCAAGGGTGTATTTTCAAAGCTAGTAGAGGAAAGACAAGAAATATGTGAATCACAAATGAGATTTACTATTCAAACAGATAGATGTGTAGCAAATTATCTGGGAGTAGAGAATCCAGAATACATATCATTTATTCGTATAGCATTAGAAAACTACAAAACAGCATTCCAAAAGTTTTCAAAGGCAACAAATTAAACTCAGAAGATCAAAAACTAATAGAAATAGATCCAAAAACTAACATGATTGAGTTTAGAAATTTGATTACGAAAAGGCTGCAAGAAGAAGAAACCAAGAATACAATAACTATTGTCAAGACTAAAAGAGAGATCTCGCATTTCGCACAAGTAAAAATGGAGATTAAAGAACCTACTACGCAATTAGTTCTCAATGAGCCAATACAAAAAAGAAAACATACAGATCTAGATGAAAATAAAGAAGAAAATAAAGAAGTCTGAAACTTAAATGTCAAGATAATAATTCAGACAAAGTCACAGAGGCAATATTGAATGAATCAGAAAAAGAGATTCTCAAAAGCTCTGATAATGAAAAGGTAGAAGATGAAATAATTCTATTATATACAGAATGTGAATCACATGATCAAGGAATAAAAGAAACCAAAAACCTGGTATTATTAAGACATGAAAAGAAAATAGTTGTAGTTTCTCCTAAAAAAGAAAAGAAGAAAGAAGACAACATCATCCATGAAGATATACATAGATCTAGATGGACTCCTAAAGATATTAATAACTTAATCTGGGCTCCAAAAAATAGATCGAAGGAGAGTCTACAGAAAAAAGAAATGCCTCAAAGCTTTACCAAAACAGAAGAGACCAAGAGTTCAAAACCTGAACGCAAATTAACCTTATGAGACTTACCAAAAGATACTTGGTCTAACAGAGTAAAGAGATGTATTAGTTTCTACGGCAAAGCAAGAATCCTAAAATGAAAAGAGGATCAACAAGAAGTAAAGAAATCGAAAGCAGCCTATATACAAATTACATGCTGGAATCAAGAAAGGTTTAAAGCATTACAAGAAAGTTGGATAGTTCATTTTGGAGAAGGAAGCATGTGCAAAGTAACCCCAGGTTACTTTGACAAAGCTGAGCTTATTAATAGAAGAAAGTATATAGCAAGACTATAAGATCTTCTATATAATACTCTTAAGTCCTCTTTACTTAAACAACTCAACCCAAGCAAAGCCAAGGCAGTATATATCCCAAGTAATAGCAATGGAAATAGAAGAAGTATTGCACTTGTATACTTTAATAGTGAAGAAGATTGTCTAAAAGCACAGGAAAAACAAATATACTACTACAATAAGAAACTTACTTGGATGGACTGCAAGGATAAAAAAGAGAAAAAACCAACCTATGCAGAAGTTGTAGCAAGAAAGGTGGAAGAGAAGTCCTTTAATAAAGAAGTTTTATACAAGAAAAAGGTAGAACAAAGAAAAGACAAAGGAAAACAGACCCTAATTGAATAAGAAAAGAAGAAGGAGGAGGAAAAGCAGAAAGAAGAATGTCCTTGGATTAACAAAGAACTAGAAAAAAAATTTATCGAAAGCCTACAAACAGAAGAGAAAGAAGAGAAAGAATTAGACTTAGCAAGCAGAATCGACCAACATCAAAGTATGCTTCAAGAAATTCTTAACAGACTTGATCAACTGAGCAAATAGCAGGCTATGTCTGCTAATCGCTTCTAAAAGGCGCTTTAGTTGATTTAAAGGAAATGACAGTAGAGATAACCTCCTTTCCATCACTGAACATTACAGCAAGTCCAAGTTTGATTCAACATACCTCAAGAAGCCATTAAACAATTAATAAAGAAAAGGGCAAAGCTAAATATAACCAGATAGAAAATGT